ACAACGAAAGATAATATATGGCAAATCAGACATAATTTCGGCATCGGTTATTTTATATGATAACCATATTTCGGTAATGAATAGAATGTCGGGACATTTAGTGAAAAGGAAAAGATGCAACTGGGATAATTTGTCCGGTAATGATCTCGAGTTGAAAAAAAGCATTCAAGAAAATTATTCCGACACTCAGTTTTCCTGGAACGCTGAAGCTGGTTGACGGCGAGTTTTTGATGGATTTTGGGAGGAGGATGTATTGATGTGAGAAAGCGAGCTAGCCAAAACCAGCTTACAAGGGAACCGTGTAGAGTCGAAGTGGCCTTTCCAGATGAGACCCATACTGCTTTGAAGAGTATTAAGCGGTGATTCCAAATCTGCCTTCCAAATCTGCCAAGCGCCTCTAGACGCCGAGTTGTGACCGTTCTTCGGAACGAACGAAAGCAAAATTTAGATAAAATTGATTGTTACAATCTTTCCAGCGCTCAGGTAAAGCAATGTTTAGTGTTAGCATATTAAATAAAATGTATTCATTGCATAAACAGCTCTGATACTTGAAACTGGACCAATTGAGGAAATCTGGGCGATTTTGCTTCAGTTTTGCGTTCACTTTTTTGACCTGAAAAACGAGCATAACTCGGCGTCTAGAGGCGCTTGGCAGATTTGGAAGGCAGATTTGGAATCACCAATTAATGCTCTTCAAAGCAGTATGGGTCTCATCGGAAAGGCCACTTCGACTTGACACGGTCCTTGTTAGTTTATAAAGCACATACCTGTCTTCATAACTCCTGGACTGGTTCAATTTTTTCGCCTGCTCTCGCAAATTGCGTTCGTGATCCCTTTCCTGGGCCGTCATACTCCTTCTAATATAGATCTTCTTGAAATTTTGGGAATCTCGGAGTAATCGGGCTCGAGAAAGGGCAGAGCTCCAATGGCCTCTCGTAGGTAATTCAACCTTCACAAGGCGTGCCTTATCAATCGCACGATTACGCATTCGAAAGACCTTTACGGGTTTGCACTCTATATCTATTAGGTTGAGTCAACTTTTCGCGCAAACTTTCGAATATTTAGCAAATTGTGTAGAAGAGTGATAGAAGAAGAATGAGCGCTTTTCTGCTCTGCGTATGCGACAAAACGTGTGTTCTTGTACTCGTCCATTTTTCTTCGCTTATTTCTACTCAGACCTAATCCATTTGTTCCAGAATTCGCTGAGTAGTTCCATAGCTATCTGCCACAAATTAGGGAGCAGGAGCAATTTTGAAATTGCATAAATTAGAACTTGTTTCTTGTTTTTGATGATTTTGGGCGTCCTCAGCCCCTTTCGTTTTCCGTATCGTTGCTTCTCCGTTCTTTCTTCTACCTCGTTTCTGCTTGTGATGAGAAAAGCTGTGAACTTGAAGGGGGTTAAGGATTGAACGCTGTTCTGCTTCATGGATCCGGGAAAATGGACCTTCGTGCGCTCGCCAACTTCTCTGCCATTTTTAGGCCTTCTTCATGTGTATTAGAAACCTGTCTATGTCAATTTCAATACAGATGCGAGACTACGCAGCGTCTTGCTGGAACATATGAAGTAGGTCGGAACAAAAATAGCGATGAGAGAATAGACGAGCGCACGAAGGCCCATCTTTCCAGTTACATGAAACAGAAAAGCGCTCATTCTTCAATCCCGCTTCGAGTTTGAAGTTCTGCTGATTAAAAATGAAAGCGAGGTGGAGGAATGAGGCCAAAATGAGAGAAATCTGAAAGAAAAGAACGGTCAAAATGTTCCAACTTTCGCCGTTCAAAACGGTGCGGGGCGGCTGCAGCGCATGCAGCACAGTTCTGGAACTATTTCCGCACAGTTCCAGCACAGTGCGAAAACTATGCAAGAACAGTTCTAGAACATGGGAATCAGTAACCCAGCCATAGATCGCAAGGCTGCCACTAAACACTAGTAGGAGTCGCAATGAGTGACAAAAGTGAAAAAGTTGGAAAAGAATAAAAATTTCAAAAAAAAACTCACGGAGTCGCATTAAGCAATCAAGCAATTCGATTAGCATTTTGATTTGAGCATGAAGTGTTTGCACTGTTTGACACGTGAGATTTGTTGCGCTTTTCTTCATAAGTTTTGTTATCATCATAAATGTTGTCAGATATACCTACATCTAAATAATGCATTCAACGTTCTTTAATGAACTAGCTGCCTGCTAGTGTTTCACTCTACAAGGAAGTCGACAGTTAAACACGAATTGCAGCTTATATCCACAGCGTGTATCCATTGTTGCTGACGAAAATGATTGATTTGCGGAATTTTGCGCAGTATATAGGATCTACGTTAAGGAATTGTTTAACCTTCATGTTGTAATAGCTCTCCAATTCTTTCGCTAAAATGCCATGCATATGAGCTGCCATATATGCGCCTCTGCTTGAATCTGCGAGCCAGTTATTAGCATATCTGCATAGCATTTATGCTATGCTATGAAATTTACGCATGAGATTTACGGAAGATGGGCTCTACTTCTTGTGGGCTGTCGTGGCGCTAAAAACAACGCCTAGGGTGGTCAATCAAGCTGCTACTGAGAGAACATTGACAATCAAGTAAGTTCTAAGAAGTTATTCTCGCATTCGACGCTTTTTCTTCAAAACTATCGTAAGCACCTTTTTCTGACATTACCTATCCCTCGACTTTTCCAAAAACACAAGTAATCTGATTATTTACCTTGTATTCGTCTTTTTGTAAGCGTGAATTATCAAAAAATGCCGTGCAGAAAGAGTTTGGAGCGCATCTGCTGTCAAAGGGCAGGCAGACAATCTCGCTGGGGTGCTTCTGCCCATCCTAGTAAGGTGCCCGCTGGTTTAATACACGGGTCGGGCGCTTCTTTAGTCCGAGTGATCATTTTTGAAAAAAGAAAATTGCCCGACCTCAAAGCGGGAAATTGGTAATAAGGGCCCAGGACAGAAGAGTAATGATCAGAGACAATGTACCCTATTATAGCCGCACCCTGTTTGCTCTAAAGGCGACGAAACGCCAAGAGGCTGCCTGTTACCATGAGGCGCGTTAACTAGCAATGTGCGAGAAAGCGATCTCTTCGCGAGACACATGCGCAAGGCACGACTAGGTCTGCTCGCGTTTAGCGAAAAGAGGATGTGGCTTTACGCCTGAAAATAGGGTATTTGTCTGCAACACGGCGCAAGTCATCCACATGTGAAAACGTGGATCCACAGCAATGCAAAACTACTTGCACTACTACGCTTACTCACTTCTTGTTTTTGCAGATGCCAGACAACTAAGCTAGGAAATAAGTCATTACTTTTATGTATCATATTATGATTTTCGGTGAATCATAGAAGTTCACGACAACCTTTACGTTATTATGTCTTGTTCCTCTTCTCCTGTTGCTACTTCCTTTCGCCGACCGGCCGATATTGTCGGCATTTCCTCATAAACATATCGTAACACTTGCCTGATACCGCACGCCATAAGCATAACCTGCTTTCTTATTGCTATGTTACTCTACTTCGCTCCGGTAAAGGCGTGGTAAAGGCGTATAACATTGTGATTTTTGAATTTGAGGACCGCGGTGAATAATTGTGGACTCATGTCAACAACTAAGAATCCTGCTTCCCGGACAGCCATACATGCTATGCGTGAAAGCTTACTAGCCATAAATTATATGGAAATTTTCATTAGCTGCGATGCCACATTAAAAATCAAGACTTACTACGCAAAAGAGTGATAGCTCATATGACGTCACAGCCGAGTGGGCGGTAATGTCTCCCAAGCGTCCACCTGGAAGATCTCGCCTTACCTTGATTACACGTTGACCACCTTGGGGTCATAATCTCACTTCTCGGTTACAGTAATCCAATAAACCACTGAACCACCAGTCTTGTTGTCTACTTCACAGTATTACATTGCATACCGAGGCAAACATTCCTCGAAAATCTACACCCGCCAATAACTTGTGAACCTTGTGAAGTTATTAGCGGGTGTGTTATGCAATGTTATACTGTGAAATAGACAACAAGATTGGTGGTTCAGTGATTTATGGAATGCGCCGACAGCGTCCGTAGTGACGCTCTGCCTTTGCATGCGATGAATACCAAGGCTGTGAGTCAGAGTTGCTATAAAACCCTACGGTCTCAATTGCGGCTGCTGCGACTCCAAAGCTGAGGAGGAGAAACACATATGGGCATTATTCCCTCATTAGGACGTATCTTCCAACTTTGTGAGCAAATTTCTCGATTCTGTAATTTATGACTTTGCGCTTATGCGATGGAGTAGCGGAGGCCGCTTGCACATAACATAAACTCTTGTTCTCATCTTTGCCAACTGATTTCAAGCTGGAGGTCCAGGAATTTACGGGGTAAGGGAGCATGCTGACTACGAATGTAAGGTAATGATTTGGAAAAACACTCATTATAAGTTTATTGATACTTTTGCAAACTTCGTGCGGGCTGCTAGGAGAATGATACATGAAGAGAGAGGGGGGAGAAGTAAGAGAGCGTGTTGATCACGAATAAACGATGAGAGCAGAGAAAAATAAATAAATTGGGTTGGAAAGGGAAAAGCTGTGCAGACACGGGATGTAAGCCCTTTCCTGTTTTACAGACAGTGTCAAACTGAAAGATGTCAATATATCTGAAAACGTCTGCAAAACCAAAGTCTTTTTCTGACACTGTACAGAAAAATTTCATTTTTTGGTTCTGACACGATTGAAATGGTGAAATGCAACAGCTTAGAGATTATCAAACGAAAAATGCGCAACTCAGCTATTGTGGTTCCATAAACAAAAGAAACATAAGTTTTTGCGACTTTTCAAGCTATAGCGGATTCTGGAAGCCAACGCGCTTGTACTTTTTCGTTAGGCTTCTTTTCTAAGCAACGTCATTTACTCCAAAAATTACAATCACCAAAGCAGCGATATTATAAACTTTGCTGTTCGCAATGTGCGTCCTTGAGCACTGCACGATACGGAACGTCAAACAATATCATAAAGTGTGTACTTTCTAAAATGCGTTAATACCTGCAGCTAGAAAATTTTTTCGTGGCATGCTTTTCTAGGTCAAGCAAACGAAACATTCGTTCCGTAACCTGTGCTGGTTCTTTGTAACCTATAAAACATAAATCAACATATTTTACATGTCCTAGACCTGTATATATAGTGCACCTATCATTCCTGCGATAAGCAACATATTTTGCTTACACGACAGACGAGGCAGCATAGCGTCAAACTGAGGGCAATAAGCAATACCCTGCATACTATTTGACTAAATCTATGAGTTGAATCCACAAAAAAAATTACCTGGGTCTGATTTATGGACTGATCTGCGATGCTAAAGCTTCCGTAGTTAGCAAACCGCGATCCAGTAATAATCTCAAACGCAGAAGTTTTACCAGCTCCATTTGCTCCAAGCATGCCAAAACAGTCCTCTTCTCGCACACCGAACGTAACATTTTTCAGCGCACAGTTCGATCCGTAGTATTTCGTGAGATTCTTAAAAGGTCAGTCGGAAGTTTTTTCCGTAAATTGATTGCTGTATTATCTTTTGAAATAGAACCGCAAGTGCTTTTCATTAAAAACCTATTTCAACCTGGCACATATCGATTAGGATTCAGTGAATTTAAAGATATTAATCAAATCAGTAGGTGGCGTTGCCTACCCTAATATCGTGAAAAAAGGCATTACGAAAACGTGGCACATGCGAAGATATACAACTGGTTTGCATTCATTATCAAATCATAAGTTTAGTGGTCAATAGGTACTAGGTTTACCGCTGCTAAAATTTCAGTGTAAGCACACTGTGTCAGCTTATGCACGCTTTCTTTTTCATTCTCCCAATAATCTGGATAATTCTGGACTTCGTCAGGTTGCTCCGATAAGATTCACATAATTAGCTGAACTGTAATGTTGACAACGGGCAGCGGAGCCGGTTCTTATAGTAGCAGCGCAAGCGCAGAAAGAACCAACTATTCGAACCCCTTTGACCTATTTGTCACAAAATCGTCTATGAAAACAACAAAGGAATACGTCGACACTAGCCACATTTTCAAAATTGGAAGAGTGCACGTAAATCAGTTAAATCAAAAAACACATAACGCGCTCTTAAGAGAGACTGCGTTTTGGCGCAGTGAAAAATGAGCCGCAAAAAAGGCGTTTCTTAGCTTTGCATCAGGAAAAAGACTCATTAATAGCTTTGAAAGAGAGTACTTTGTTAAATTTCATGTATGAAGCTGAATGTCGTTCTGTCTGTCTGTGTAAATGTGTGTGTACGTTCCGAATGAAAAAAAAACATTTTGCACATGTAACACGGTTGACTTTGCACAAGTAAGACGGTTGCTGGCGTCGCCTGTTGTTGTAGGACTTCATAATAGTCACTGTGTATCATGCCCTGTCAACCGGCGACCCTAACAAACAGTACGCTGAAATTGCTGACATTACTTTAATGTGAGTGCTACAAATTTAGCACTCGGATCATTATCTCGCCACCTCGCCCGAGCAGTTCGCAAACAAATTTTCTGGGCACTCTTCCAAATATTCCGAATATGAATACCGTCATTCGCTGCTGGCGTGGCCAACAACGGTATCCTTTTCGCGCCAATTTTCTAGGTCCATAATCGATTTATTATGTAAAGGTTGCCTCGGAAAATGAAAACATACCAAGTACTTCTAAACCATTTACGCATGTCGCTGGGGTCATCGAAATGCTGCTTTCTGAAGCAGGGCGGGGCGGTACTGAGAGTGAGTCGCTGTTTTGCGAAGCATTGGGTGGAATGGAGAGGGAGGGCGGACAAGACTGAAGAAGATTGAGTTCGTAGCTATACGAATCTGATCGAGGTCCGCACAGTTAAACAATTGGGTACAATACAGTGACCGGCAGGGTCGGAACCGCCACTACCAAACTCATATAAAGCAGCTTAGGAACCATTAGAGTAAAAGATCTAGCGTTTTACTTTAGAAAGCCGAATTATAGAGTGAAATACAATATGTTGGCAAAAGGAGAGAGATCTCTCAAATTCCAGCTACAAATACACTGGCCCGTAGTAAACCCCTGTTCAGCGCAACTCGGCTGGGGGCGAGCCTACAGTGAACGTAGAACGAGACAGTCCGGCGTCCAGTGAGCTATTGATTAGGTTGCGGATCGCTTATAAGAGCTAAAAATCTTGTGCGTTTTCAAACCGTTCAAGCTTGAGTGGGAGTGGTCGAGGGTTAAGTGTTTATGATTCAGCGCACGGTGCCATGGTTCGAAGACGCCTAGCGGCGATTTTTGCGCCATCGCCGGGTAATCTATGATAGCGGCCATCATATGAAAAAATCGATGATGACTGCTATCAAGGATATCACCTGGCAAATGGACAGAAAAAACAAAACTAAGTATTTTAAGGGAGATTTTATGAAAAACTGAAATTTTTTGAGCAACTATAGAACGAAGTAAAAAAAGAGATTCTTGTTTAATGCAGCTATTCCAAAAGAACCAAGCCTGCTTCGCAAAAGAGAAGAAAATTTTATCCTTGCTTTCTTTGCCGTAATCAGCTGTTCATCGATCCCCTCCCATTTAGGCCTCCGAAATTGTGCAGTTTTGGGAGTTTTGCACCGTAAGAATATGTCAACTGAATTTTCCCGTAAATTACTCACGAATAACTTACGGGACAATTGTCTGATTCTCGTCTTATGCACACTATCTCTCTCGGGTCACCCCAAATTCAGCCTCGGATGAGTGGCACTCTGGTGAACTGCTGTGACACTTGACCAGACAATCTTCTGACCGTTGAACTGGTTATTTTAAAGCGCGGGAAGGCGGGTGGGATTAGGTTCACCTGAGGAAGTTCTCTTGAACGACTAAGCTCAAGTCACCTGAAATGAGTGGAGGTTTGCTACGGACCATTGTTGAGCTAGCTTCCCGCCTCAATTAATACACTGAGACAACGTGACTCTTATGGTGGGCCACGACATAAATTTTGTTGGAGGTATTACAATTACTCATTATACTTGTTTGAGAGGTCTTTTACTCTCTGATTTAGCGTATACTTTGATGTCTCTTGGTTGCTTTTCAGAATTTGTGTAGGTATAGTATAGATGGCGGTCTGCTGATTTGCTAAAGAATTTCGACTTATTCTTGGAAGGCATTGTCCCACAGGCAGACAAATACTGCGCTTTGTCATCAACGTGTTGAACTTCTTTCTGCTCTTTCTGCTAGTTAGGCATTCAGTAAATGCATGTCTTCACTCTTTGAAAGTTTAATGAGGAGTAACTTCCATCCCTCTTTTCTTAACCTCGGCGTAATTAGTTGTGTGGTTAGTAGGTTAGTATGCCAGCACGAGGTTAGTAGAATGCTAGTAGTGGCGGCCTGACATATCGTCTAATCGTCTTCTTCAGAAGCCTAAAGTGGTAAGAAATTTGAGATTTTATATCTTATTCCACAAAAAGCCTCTTCCATTCTGGCCAGCCCCGGCATCACCCCAGAATGTTGCAAACAAAGTCAAACAACGAATAAGACGAGCTCAACTTCTCCACCGTCGGCACGCAGACGTTAAAGGCCTCGGACAGAGTCACGCAATTTGGTCGTCGCGAATCAATCGTCACAAGACAAGTGTTACGAGTTTGCCAATCTTCTTTTATTCCGGTTGTTTTTCCAACACGACTAGTTGTGACTAACTATCATGACCGAAATACAAGAAGATCGGCATGCAATGAACTCGTAACATTTGTCTAAATCGCGATCTAAACGTGAACTCTGTCCGAGGCCAAAGGCAGCAGCTCGACAAAACCGAGCATCACGAAATTTTGACAGGGAAGTTTGCTTGCACCTCAAACATGAGAATAGAGCAGGTCTGGCGCATAGCACATGCTGCCCTTGCCTAGAAAACTGCGTTACGCGCAAGCCATTCTAGTACGCGCGGACGAGCTTGCGGTTGTCCATGACCCGTCAGAGAAGGTATGCTGCAATGTTATAACTGCGAGGGTGTAACCATGGAGGATGTGCCTCACTTGTCCAAATTCAAAATGGGAGGCCTGGAAAATGATGATTTTGCCATTTTCGCGCTTTTGAAAGTAGATATTCGGAATCAGCGCCTCGATCACCCCAGGTAAGCAAAAAAACTTCAAGTAGAGAATCTGCCGAGCCGCTGGCTTCAAGCGCTATCGTCCTTTAGTGCCACTAGTAAGAACGGAATGCAATGTACACTATATATGTATCTAACCACTAGTGGCCTTCAACTCACAAAACGGTGCGAAAGGCAAGAATTAATTCGCAATCGATATGCATTCATTTCGGCTGATCATGCTTGGATCTCTCGCAATATTCCAGAATGCCTCGAGAGTCTTTCCAATAGCATTGTCGCTTTCACAAGCTAGCATCACATCTGGAATTCTGGTAAGGACTTCATACATTGTAATCCATTTTTGGTACCAGTGGCACCTAGAGACTGCCTCGCTCAATATCTGCGTGCCGACGGTGGAGAAGGTGAGCTCATGTCGTTTGACTTTTGTTTGCAACATTCTGGGAGATGCTAAGACTGGCCAGAATGGAAGGCTTTTGTTGACTTTAGGCTTCTGAAGAGGCCGCCACTACTAACAATAAAATCTACTAACCTCGTGCTAGCTCCACACAGACGAGTAGTCACTTACGACTGTTTCCTATGTTTATCCTAAAAAATACTTATAAAAATGAAAATGAAGAGAAAATGAATGCATGTTAAGCACAGTGATGGAAATCTAGACAGTGATGGAAACAGGGAGTTGCTCGCAACGAGCGCATCAACGAATACATTTTAGCGATAGCAATCATTTTCCCATTTTTCACACTTTTTGAAGGTAAGGGCGCAGTTACCTCGGGGGATGCCTTACTTTCAAAAGGAAGATAGATTGAAGCAATGCAAAACTAAAAAACACAAAAGGTTTCGAACTTACACCTGCACCAGCTTATGAGCAGGGTTGAGCGTGGGGTCAGGCGCACCCGACCTGGGGGTTCGTATTGGGTGTGAGACTGAGAGGGGGATCATAGTTAAAAATCAAATTTGTTTAGTTGGGGAGATACTAACATCAAAGTGAAGAAGGAAAGCGCTAGTTTTCGTAGATATTGCAGCCCCACCAGGTACTGAAGCAATGACGGTCGCAAACAGCATACTAATTGATTCCACAATTGAAGTTTCAGCCAAAATTTGAATCTTCATCTCCCCTTGACATATCATAAGGTCATTAAGGAAGCTTGTCGTGTGAAATGGGTATCTTTGTAGTCAGCATGTCACTTTACCCCTATGAGTTCTACAAGCCATTACCTACTAAATTTTCTAATGCTTCTAAACGTTTGTTTAAAAAGCGAAAAAATTGCAAAAGCTTGTTCATACTTATAACAAAGTAATGTTCTTTACGAGTCTATGCTAGAAATCAGGCTTCACATCATTCAATAAGTGGAATAAGAAGTTCTGCTGCCAAATTTTCAACCGGTGCGTCT